AAACAATCTTAAAGATTATACTATTAGAGAGGGAAAACTTGATTTTATTAATCTGCAATAAGCTTCTTCAATTGTTGAACTTGTTGTTGTTTCTGTACTCCTGCAATTTTGGTTCGCTAATTGTTTTTCTTCCCTTTTAACTGTTATATTTCTTGATCCACTAAGTGGAGTTTTTGTGTGGTGATACTGGTTGATCACTGTCCTCACTTTTTCTTTTTTCCCTGTTTCTTTTGGAACTTCATAGCTCTCATTGTAAAGTTGAACCTGGTGAAGGACAGCGCAGCAGAATGTTCGCGCGGTCCCTCTAGATTACGAGAAGAGCAAACCGCAAAATCGAGCAGCAACACCTCATATATTCACATCAGCTCTGCAGTTTCACCCTGTACGAAAAATGAAGGTCTTTTTTTTAATGATCAATCTCATTAAAAGCTTTGTATTATCCTCTACTTACCCAGAAGGTTGGCTTAGGTTACAAGCAACAACTTTTGGGAATGACTTTCTTGTTACATGTTGGCTAAGATTTTTCAGGCTTTCCCTTATTATGAAAAGGTCTAACTTGTATAAATTCTACACATTCAGGAACACTTTCCGATGGTCCAATGGTTCATGAAATTTCTAAAGCTAAGATAAAGTCAGAGTCCAGATCTTTGAAAGCCAGAGAGTCAACTTTAATGAAACCCACTGCTAGTCATTTGGCTAAACTACGGTGTGTAAAAAGACTTTCTAACTTCTCTTCTGAAAGGTTTTATCCATTTCAAGGTGATATGTTGCTTAACCGCAACTTGTTTATTTATTTTCTCCCAATCGTTCTTGCCAAATGATTTCTGGTGTCTAACTACTTCCAATCAAAAATATATATATATCAAGCAGAAATATACTGTAAAAATTTCTATTCAGGCTTATGTATGTTTCTGCAGTTCCAGTCTGTTCACTTTGTTAATCCTATTCACTTGTAGGTTATTTCTAAAACCATATTTTAGTTTGGCCTAACTTAGTATTTAGTTTTTGCTATGTTTCTCATTCTAGCAATGTTTCTCATTCTTCAATTGCTAGGTCCCAGAAACCACCTAACGAGACCGATATGAGAAGCTCATGGAATTCTTCAGGATCTTACAATGTAGCTACTAAAAGACAAAAGCTTGAGAGTGGTTATCTGCGCAAGGTGCATGAAGTTAGTTACTGTTTTTTGATAATTTCCTGTTATGATGTGCTTGAAAGTGCTATGAATTATAAAGCACAAGGGAAGGAATTCTGATTAAGTTTATGTACTGAATTCTCTGTCCACTTTCAGTTCAATGTTCCATCTGCCTTAATTCCGTCCATAGGATTAATATTTTTTTCCCTTAGAATTCCAAGTATAGATTAGAAACTTTTACTTCATACTTCCTTGGCTACTCTTTTCCTAGATCTTTGTGGCAATGCCTTTCGTGTTACTGATTTGATAACTTGAAAAGGTATTCCCAAAGGACTACATTGTTTGTTCACTTTGAACTTGGTCTACTTGAGGGAAGTGACAACCAAATCACTCGTAGTTATGGTCAGATACCAACACAGCTAAAAGCTTGAAATTCCCTGGATGTACACAATATCTTCATTTTTTTTTCTTACTAATATGTAAGCTGCTAAAAAAAATTGTCACCATTTTATCTTGCCAACCATGTTGCTCATTTGAAGCATCAAAGTTCTGATGTTGCACAAGATATCCAAAAAATCTAACGCGAATATTTAAAGTTGTTATTTCACGCTATTGAAAGATGTTAGATTAACACTTTTTGAATCTTCCATTGCAGTTTATAGAATATTTATCCTGGTTTCAAGTTTCTCTAACTTGACACATTCTAAACTTAAGGTCACTGTTCCTAGAGATCCTCAACTGGAAACCATGCAGAGGGCACAAAGACGAAGGTATGTTATTGTTGACTTGTCCTACATCAGGTATAAAAATGTATCCAAAAGGGTTTATAAAGGTCTCGAGTCCATTCTCACACTTGTAAGTTGCACTAAAGTCACATATAGGGTATAAAAGGGCATCTTGGCTACTTTACTCACTGTTTTAAGATTTTGGGTTGGCGCTCAGATTCTTACACAATTTTAACTGGGTAGATTTCTTGGTTTATTTAGCCCTTTATCTTGGTTTGAAACATTAACAGTTGAATGATCAACTTTTCGTTTATCTAAAAGTTTCAGGTCCAAGAATGATTCTGAGTCAATTGATTATGCAAAAGCTAAAGGCCAACCTTCAAAAGCACAGCCCTTGAATATAAAAGTTGGTAGTTTTAGATACTGCTCTCTTCCTGAACTCTACAAAATCATTTAAACAGCTTTAACACATAATTTACTAAGACTTGTTCTTTGTGCTTTCTCTAGATTCTCAAACCTCCTCATCCGAAGAGCACACTGCAGTCGCCAAAATTTCATGTAATTGTGATTGCTGATCTTTTGGCTTGGAAAGGACTATATAACTGAGTTCTTTCACTATAGAGGATAGCTAATTTTGACGCAGAAATTTTAAATGCTATATAAAAAATTGACTCTACAACAATTAGTTAGTCATATTCAGTTTCTCACGGAATTGATTCTATATGTAGAGGGTTCATGATGAAATCTGAAAGCTTTATAAATTGATAGAAGCTAATCTCTCTCTGTTTGGTTATTGCAGTTATCGAACAGCCAAACTGCTGAGTTTGCTGCACATAGCACTTCTGTGGACTTCAAAAGGTTGGATTGATGGGTTTCTGACTTCATCCAGTAATTGAATTAAAAGAATTTAGCTTATAATTGGTACTCGGTTTATTCTTCGATTAAACTGCACTAACTATTTTTAAGGCTCAGATCATCACTTCAAAAGTTTCTCCTCCTGTAACTATTTGTAATTTCCTCGTGGACTATGAGATTTTGATTAGAACAGATTACACTTGCGCTTTAGAGAATGATATTTTCGCTTGAGATTCTGAATTTTCTCTTTTACATCAAGCATAACATTACCTTTTCAAAAAGGAAAAAAAAAAGGAAACTTGTTTCAAGCATCATAAAGTATCATTCCTAATATTGCTGTTCTTTGTCTCTCAGACCAAACACTCAAAATGCTGTGAAGCAGGGGAATTCTGTAACACTGCTCAAATCAAAAGCTCTAAGATGTAATAAGGTACACCATTAATCTAACCATGTGAGCCTCTTTTGTTTTTTCTTTTTGAGTTTGTGGTATATGCTAATTGTGAAACCATATCATGTCTTTATACAGATCTTCCCAAGTAGTGAAGATACTAGAATATGCGAAAACATTGGAGAAAGAAGTTTAACCTCAAGTGTAATATACTACTACTACTTAGTTTGCTTTGATTGATCTTTCATTAAGTATTTTTTACCCTCCTTTGTCCTTTACTTTCTCTCTTGTTATATGAGGCTCTTATATCCTATCCTTCCACAGGATTCTAAATCTGCACCTGATAAGAGGCTTCCACCAGTTGAATTGTTTAATAAGGTATGGACTTCAATCTGAAAATTTAGTCATATCGGATCGCTTTTAAGTGTCAGTATATGATCTAAGCCATGGATTGAATGAATTATCTTTATATTCAGCAATCAGCAACTTACTCTTATGCCTTCCTGCCAAGCAATTCTAATATTTGTTTCCTTTTTAATCCCGTGCAGTTGTCCCTTAGATCTGAAAGGAAAACTAGTGTAATATCTCGGCCAAAAACCCATGCCTCTTGAAAGGTGCCTTTGAAAATTTTGAGGAATCCCTTCTGCGTGATGGAAATGAGTTACTTTTAATACTTATATCTAAAATGGACCTAAAAGAGAATTTACCAAACTCTTTGGACGGAAAGAGGTTTGACGAATAGCAGAAGTTGTTCTTGTTTCTGTTGATATCTATTCAGAAATGTATTCCGAAGCCAAATCAGTGTAGGTTAGGAGGAGCACACCAAGGATTGGATAGCGTTCAGCATGAAGATGTACCTGTGTCTTGAATTCCATGAATAAGAAACAGGAAGTTAGAAAGATGACACTAATTGCTGATAATCTGTTTGTATATGTACTTGTCACCTTTTCGTCAATACTAAGTTTTTCAACTAAAACTTCTTTACTGTCTTGAAGAACAATATACTAATGAAAATAGTCATGTATGCCTATCTTATTGGTTGTCTCATCTTCTGCTTTGAAAATTTGCATCTAACCTTTATATTGATCTCTCAGGAGCTTGAGAATCCTATAAGAATTAATGATCAAGAAGTTCCTATCTTTTGGTCCATCTGGCTTTGTTTGGGAGAGTTTATATATTTCTGCAAGTTGTTGCTTGGATGTAGAAAATATAAAGAACCTCCAAGTGTAGAAAACCTACTTATTAGATATTGGAATGAGACGAGTCTAAACGGAGCGAAATGTATAGTGAAGATTCATTAAGCCGACTCCAACTAACTTGGAATTGAGGCTTAATTATTGTTATTAATGCTAGAAGTAAGAGGATTCTTGATCTTCAGACCTCTATTTCGTGGGAGGTAGCTCGTCTTGATTCTGTGATTTGTATTACAGCCATGTTTGTGTCAGGAAGCACTATACAGCAATTTAGTCCTAGCATATTTATTGCATATTATTGATTTGCCCCTTCTTGTCTGTTCCATACATCCAAAAGCTGCACTGCCAGGACGATGAATTTAGCATTACCAATATGTATGTGTCTCCTGAGGAAATGTGCTCTATTCCGCAAGGTCAGGCTAATTGTTAATAGAATTACACAGGGTAAAATCGGTTCATATTATATATTTGAATAATAGAGTGACACGTGGAATCAGACACAGACGGAAGGCGAATCAAGTGGAAGTCAAGACCGAGAACAGCAACTTCGGTTGGTATCGGCCAGATCCTGAAGGGAACATTGCTAACGAGGACAAACGAATATTTGCCACCCGATGACATTCAATAAAGAATATTCCTCAATATTAAATATAATCTGTTACACAGAATTTTAGCATTCATAGTCTACCGTTATATATTCATCAATGGCCCCCATAATTATTATTTAAGAGGGGCCTGATCCTAGGATCTAGTTCCGTAGGTGTAGCTATAAATAGTGACTTCAATAGCCATTGTAAGATAAGAAAAAAATTTGACAAACTTATGCTATACATTATTCTAAGCTCAACAATACCTTATTTTCTGTCTATCAATATTCTTATTGTTGTCTTCGGAAACTCTGCTCCCGGAACCAAGTTGTTTGCTGTCTTATCTCGATTTCAACGCTAAGCCTTGTATTTTATTAAATTTATTTATTCTTTTGGGATCAAATCGATTTGCTTGTCTATATACTACGTTATAAATTCAACTGTATCGTTTTACGGGTAAACAGTTTGGCGCCCACCGTGGGACCTAGACAATTGCGTAATTGAGTTGATCCTTGCATCTATTACTAATCTTTTTGATTCTTCGTTTCTTAGCAAAAAATCATAAAAGATAGCAGATAAAGATGTCAATATCGCACACAACGTTAAGGCACAAGGAAATCCGCCTCAACGCGAAGACTAGATAAGTGACACCCACAACGAGGAGGACGTAGCCGCGTCGGTCCATAGCGGGCAATATCCACGACATGTACGTGAGGCGACTCCTGATGATGCTGAAGACGAGCACGTTGCGAAAACGGTAAGGATCTTGAGAGAACAACAAAAGGCCATCATCGGCCATCTCTCACGATAAGACCAGGTCATGACAGAATTGAGGCAAGCATTGTCGGATGCTTCCAACAACGCGAATGGAAGAGGTCCAGTTCTTCCCGGTGCTCCCGCAAATCAAACAACGCAAAGGGTTGATAACAACACCTGAGGGGTGAGGTCGGCTTCGACGGGGCCGGGGGGAGCGGTAGCGGATCTGGTAACAACAAGGAGAATGATCCGTTTAAAACCGAGCTCATGCAGTTTATGAGGGAAATAAAAGCCCGAATAGACAAATTTCGGGCGCACCGCCAGTGCTGAAGGGACTGGACTCAAAGAAGTACACCTAGTTGTCGTTCAAACTGAGCGCGGCACTAGAGTTAATCCCGAAGCGTTTCAAAATACCAGACGTACCAAAATATGATGGGACTTCGAATCCTCAGAAGCACATCACCACCTACACAACGGCGGTGAAAGGAAACGACTTAGCTCTGCACAAGATTGAGATAGTCTTGCTGAAGAAGTTCGGGGAAACCCTCACGAAGGGGGTCCTGACATGGTATTTAATTTTACTCGAGCACTCAATAGATTCCTTTGAGATGCTCATGGATTATTTCATCAAGACCCATGCTGGGGCCAGGAAGGTACAGGCCCGAAAGGCCGACATATTCAGAATTGGCAAGGAGAGTCTGCATTGCTGCGAGAGTTTGTGACCAGGTTTCAGAAGGAAAGGATGTTGCTACCGATTGTGCCAGATTAATGGGCAGCTGAGGTATTTACTAAGGGGTTGAACCCAAGAAGCTATGATGCTTCCCAAAAACTAAAAGAAAGCCTGCTCGAGTTCCAGGCAACTACATGGGCAGATGTCCACAACCGCTACGAATAAAAGATAAGGATAGAAGCCGACCAGCTCGGTTTCCCGGCATCAACTTAGGGTCGGGATCGAGAAAAGAACAAGGATAAGTCGAAGGATGATTTTGACACAGATCGGCGATCTTCTAAGGGCCGGTTTTTGCCCTACGAAAGGGCCGAAGGACGCAGCAGAGGTTTTCGCTCAGCGGACAGGTTCGCTACCGATATGAGAACTGACCATGGCCAGAATAACAGATCATTGCAGGACAAAGAGATATCGGGCTCCCAGGATTCCACCTACCCCAGACTGTCCGAGTATAATTTCAATGTCAGCATGGTAGAGATGGTATCGGCGATGAGGAACATTAAGGACGCACGGTTCCCGAGGCCCATGAGATTTGATCCCAGTCAGAGGGATCCTAATCTATAGTGTGAGTATCATAGGACTAACGGACACCGGACTGGGGACACCCGATATCTGCGCGAGGAGGTGGCGACGTTGCTGAAAAATGGTCATCTCAGAGAGTTTTAAGCGACCGGGCTAAAAATAACTACAGCCGCAACCGGGATAACGCAGATCCCTCAAAGATAGGAGAAGATCCTCCTCGACTAACGATCAACATGATTTTCAGTAGGAACGAGATTAATGGTATAACATTTTTAGCAACAAAAAAGACAAAGGTATCGGTGACTCATAACAAGAGACTCCGGAAAGTCGTCGAGGACGATATTACCTTCACAAAGGAGGACGCCAATGAACTTCTACTACCGCACAACGATGCCCTGGTAATTTCTCTTAATGTTTTAGATTTTAAAATTAAACGTGTTTTGGTGAACCCAGGAAGCTCAGCCAATACCATTCAATGGAGAGTGCTGGAACGAGCCAAGCTAACTGGAAGCATCATTCCAGCCACAAAGCTCCTCGTCGGGTTCAACTTAGAAAGTATGACAACCCGAGGGGAGATCCTGTTGCCCACAAACGCCGAAGGAGTCATGAAGACTACCTTGTTTGAAGTAGTAGACGGCGACATGGGCTACAATATTATTCTTGGCAGACCATGGCTACATGAGATGAAGGTTGTGCCATCAACATACCATCAACTTCTGAAATTCCCAACTCTAGAGGGAATTAAACAAATAAGAGGAGAGCAACTGGCAGCAAGGGAGATGAACGTGATCTCGATTTCCAACAGTAAAAGAAAGGAACATGTGGCATAGCAATTACAGAGACCGCCGCCCCCTCCCAAACCAAACGAAATCGACAAAGGGGAGGAGCCATCGGAATCCCATCAGGTACCAAGGTGTTTCCAGGTACCGAAAGAAATGGACGCAACCAAATCCACAGCGGAAGAACTCGAACAAGTTACATTGTTCGAGAAGTTCTTAGAGAGAAAATTCCACTTGGGGACAGATTTAAACCCCGAGCTCAGGTTAGGATTTATATAATTTCTTAAAATTAATGTTGATCGTTTTGCATGGTCACAGGTGGATATGACAGGTATTCCGCTAGAGGTGGTCATGCACAAGTTAAGCATGGACCCCAACATCCCTCCGGTAAGGCAAAAGAAGCGCCTGATTGCCAAAGTCAAAAATAGGTTTGTCAAAGAAGAGGTAACTTAATTGCTTGATATCAGTTCAATCCGGGAGGTAAAGTATCCCGATTGGCTAACTAATATAGTAGTAGTTCCGAAAAAGAATAATAATTTTGCATGTGCGTAGATTATAAAGATCTGAATAAGGTATGCCCAAAAAACTCATTCCCGTTGTCAAACATTGATCAAATGATTTATGCGACGCCCGGGCACGAGTTGATGAGTTTTCTCGATGCCTATTCCGGGTACAACCAATCAAAATGAACCTGGAGAATCAGGAAAAGACTTCGTTCATAACGAACTTTGGCACATATTTCTACAATGTGATGCCTTTCGGGCTTAAGAATGCCAGAGCCACTTATCAGAGGCTCTTGAACAAAATGTTCAAAAAGAAAATAGGGAAACAATGGAAGGTACATAGATGATATCCTGGTTAAGTCTTTGAACGCATGTGACCATCTGAAACACCTCTAAGAAACCTTTGACATCCAAAGGAAGCACAACATGAAGCTTAACCCCGAAAAGTGTGCATTCGGAGTCAGCTCTGATAAATTTTTTGATTTCCTGGTATCACAAAGCGGGGTCGAAGTCAATCCCTATAAAATTAAAGCCATCGAGGACATTCCTGACCAGCTGACAAATGTAAAAGAAGTCCAAAGGTTAACCGAAAGATTGGCCGCTCTATGTAGGTTTATTTCCCAGTCTTCGAAAAAATGCCATCACTTCTTCTCACTTCAGAAGAAGAAGAAAAACTTCGAATGGACTCCGGAATGCCAACAGGCCCTAAAGGATCTGAAACAGTATTTATCGAGCCCTCCGTTATCATCAAAACCAGAGGAAGGTGAACAGTTACTGATTTACTTAGCGGTCTCAGAGGTAGCGGTAAGTGCCATTCTAGTCCGAGAAAATGAAGGTACGTAATCTTATATCTATTATGTTAGCAAAATTTTAACGGGTGCGGAAACTCATTACCCGCATCTAGAAAAATGGG